AAAAAGCTAGCTCTCAGCTTTGATGCCTTTGCTCAACTTATACTATACCCCAAATCGGGATCCCGATTAACTGACTATGAAGCCACACTCCAAATTTTCTGCGACAGTTCACTGAATTAGCAAGATATTCAATCTTGACGACTGGGTATGTTTCGCGATTGAAAACCATCACATTCCAGTAGGGGAATAAAACTGAGTGCTTGAACAACACCGGCTTTAAATTACTGAATGAGCGAAAATAGCAACCACTATGGAGCGCGGAGATCAACCATCATCAGGGAAGACACATCAAATTCCAATGGTTGAGGAAAAAGAGTTGACTCCACCATTCGAATGTCTTGGGGAAACCGAAGCCAAACACAAAACCAACTGCACGACAAAGACTCAACCGGCTGATGAAGTTCCGGTTGGAAATGATAGATTTTTGGACCAAAAATCCAATGGCCAGCAACCAACAAGCGACTGGCAAAGTGAAGTTGGCATAACCAATCTAGATTGCTGGGAAATTACACGATGTCAACTGCGAAGAAGAAATTCAACCAGTTGGACAGAACTAGGTTAAGACAGTCTTATTAAGAATATTAGGATGCATAATCTTAATAGTCAGGGGCGTTCATCCATTCTCGGGGTTTATCCAGAGATTTCCCTGTTCGCACCTAAAGGTGCCCTTGGAATTCAGGGCGCACTCACCTGATGCGTCGTTGGCGATGCGTCAATAACACACCAATTGAGCCTGTTTTCGCATCGATGTTTCCGAAACATTGTTTCCATCATAGGTGTGAATACCTGACTGTTTTGGTCCAAAACTTTTGGATGAACTCAACTCAACATGATTATCACGTTGTGATACTGGGAATCCAACAGCCAGATTCCGGGTCCATTGATTTTGATTCCTAATCGATGCATCGGAAACTCGACCAGAGAAAGGCAACCCTCTCAGGAAAAATGAGTCAGCACCAGGATCACTCAACTCTTCTGCTTTTCTTGGCGGACCGCCAATGGCGGCCCAGTGCGCCCATACTCCATCGATAAAAGACTCGTAAGCCCTGACCGCACTTGGTGGAGAGTCAATCACCGGGAGCGCCGGACCTTGATGGCTGATCCTCATCAGCTCGACAAACATATCACTGGTCATGCTCCGAGTCGGAGCGGCTCCGATTCGCGGAGTCGACGGAGCCGTCGGATGACCATCGAATGGTCGTCTGCTATGCGAGTCGAAAGGTTGAAGCACCGGAGGTGCTAGTATACCATCCTGCACTTATCGCCCGAGACATCCCGTTCTGAATCAGTACTACTGATACTCTCTAGCATATTCGCTATTCTACGAGCAAGTTTGAGCTTGAGAATTCCACCTTGTGACAAGGTGCTTTTCACAGTTCGATTCTGTTACAATCAAGTCCTACTTTGAGAATTCAAGTATGTCACAATCTAAATTTGTTATACTCGAGATTGACAATGAAACTCTAAGTTTGTCACTTGTCTATTTTGTAAACACCAAGTTTGACAATGCGCACACGAGTTTTGACAATACTACAATTCATAATATTACCCGAACGCATAATTCAATACATAACCTTCCAATAGAGGCAGATTATGTAGGAGTATATGTAATCGCTTTCCTCAGCTACTGAGCTCAGGAGTTTCCTATACAGTGTTGGAGTAGGAATATATGTAATCGTTTCCCTCAGCTCAGCTAGAAAATTCCTGAGCTCAGCTGAGTCAGCTGAGTTCAGGATTTTCCTATACAGTGTTGGAGGAATACATGTTCGCTTTCCTCCGCTGAGCTTGGGAGTTTCTTATATAGATTTGGAGGAATATACGTGATCGCTTTTCTCAGCTACTGAGCTCAGGATCTTCCTATACAGTGTTGGAGGAATACATGTTCGCCTTCCTCCGCTGAGCTCAGGAGTTTCCTATATAGATTTGGAGGAATATATGTGATCGCTTTCCTCGGCTGAGCTCAGGAGTTTCCAAAGCTTATCATACAAGTTTACATACGAATTCGGGTAGAAGTATACAGAAACCAAAAGGAAACTCCCAATAGTTCCCAGGAATGTTCATATCATCATCAACACATGTAATTGTTGGCCATATGTACGCTTTACAGGGGAGCTCCCAAACCCTGTGAGTGCGCGGTTGTCGTCTATAGCAAAGGTGAGATGACCTGCGTGAGTCGAGTGCGGTAGTGTTAAGTGATAAATTTAGACCGGAGTGTTTTGGTACGCATTCGTTCAGGAGGCATGGAACACAGTCTCTCAGTCGACATATTAGCTGGGAGAAGATCCAAGCCTTAGGGAGATGGAACGCCCAAATTCTACGAAACGTTATACTCAAGATGCTAATTTGGCTGACAGCTCTCAGTTTGCAAAACAGACAGTGAGGGACGGGTCCCAGAGTGGTCGGGTAGAGTTTATCAGAGATCTCCGATCCAGGGTGCCAACGGTCAGTGTGGAGAGGTGGAGGTTGGAAATAGCGAGAATTTGGAGGAATGAGATTTACGACCAGTGGTTGGTAAAGAAAGATAAACAAGTCGTGGGTGAGTAGTAAACTTTATTCGTTGTCGGGGAGCTAGGTGAGGTCTGGTTTTGCAAAATCTAACTCGGGGTTGAGAAAGTATTTGTAGTTTTGCCCCATGAATGACTGGTTTTTGTGCGTATTGGGGAGTTTCGGGGACTAAGCTGTAGTACCATTACTTCAAGGTTGCGGTTTCGTATCTTGGCTCACCGACTGGACATGTTGACCTGTATATCTGATCATGGCTACTGCTGTGGTTTTGGATACCGGGATTCAGTATCCCGCTCCATCACTAATTTGATCAGCAGTTGTGGATCAAGTAATCAACAAACCGGTGGAGTCAACTACTACTACAGCTTTCGTCACTACATCACCCCCGGTGATTCACCGGCTTTGTGGTTTGGGCCAA